AATCAGTGAAACAAATTAACCCTCATAATGCATTCGAGGCCATTTCGACCCAGAAAAGATATATTAAAATTCTTTAAAGAATGCGCAGTGTTTCGTAAGGGAACGAAACTTTGCAAATGCTTTTGCAATAAGACCCTCAAAATACACGTCATTTGTTTTTATTGTTGTTTTATTGGAGATTTTTAAGAGCTATAACCATGTTTTGTGTTCAGGTTTGTATTTAGTACCATTAGGTGTCAAAAATACTTTTGGGACTGAATTTTGTTGCTAAACATGAATATGTGCACCTATTGATCAACCATTGAAGCATGAAAAACTGATCACTCTTTTTCATCTGAAAGTAAAGTAAAAATACAAATTCTTTTAGTTTCAAATAATACTTTGCATTTTCAGCATGAATGACCCATAATCATGTTCTTATCAGATTTATTTAAGCATCATTTATAAATGATTACAGTTTTTGATAATATTTTGAATTCGTTTTTATTTTTATATTTTCATTCGAACTTAAAAGTGTTTAGTTTTTGTGTGCTGTTGTCATATTTATTATATTTATAATATATTTATACTAGGAAAAGGATTTGTAATATTCATAATATTTATACTACGTTTATATTAATATATCTATATCGTTTTTATTTTGTTTTATTTCAGTTTGAGTTATTTTAGTGCTTCAATTTAATCTAAACGAAAATGAGAAGACTGAAATAAAATAAGTACAATTTATTATTTTCTTTGAAATTTTTTCAGAGTAGTGTTTATGTTGTTTTGGTGTTGTTTTGTGAGAAATATATATATGTAGGTTTTATAAATTTAATTTAATCCGTTGGGGTTAATACGGCTAAATCTCAGATTATATGTTCTCATAAATGTCATAAATAGTAAATTAAGACTTCTATATATATACTTTTTTAATTAATATAATATAATTTAATATAATTTAATTTAACATAATATAATATAATATAATATAATTTTTGTTTGGTGTTGTTCATGTGTAGTTTGAAAATTCAAAGAATTTCTCTATTTTTTAATTAATCAAAAAGGGGTAAATGCAATAATAACATTATATATATATATATATATATATATATATATATATATCGAAATGTGAAAATATCATACCAATTTTGAATGCATTATGATGGTTGACATTTAATAAGAAAGTGAATTTGTCATTTGTGTTTTTGATGCATGTCTCTCCAGTGTTACTGAGATGTTGACCACACAAGCGGACCGGTTTTCTGCAGAGGAGGTGAGGCGCGTCTCACATGTGCTCTGATGCTTGATGGTTGCCGTGGATACAGTGTCAGCACCACTGACTGCCGTGTCGTTTCAGATGGAGCAGATGTTCATCGCGTTCCCTCCAGACGCTGCGGGAAACCTGGACTACCGGAATCTGGTCCACATCATCACTCACGGAGAGGAGAAGGACCAGGAGTAGTTCATTCGGCCCTCAGCCAATCACAGCGCTCCCTGTGTGTTCGTACCCGCCCACTTATTTATAATTGACAGGCTTGAAACGGAGCTCAAAGTCAATGTAGTTGCTGAAACGAGAATGGTCAGATTTTTAAACCTATGATGATGTTGTGTTAATGTTTGCACCTTTGGCATGCAACCTGTCAAAATTTACTTCAATATTGTAATTGGTAAATAAATAAATGTATATGAAATACTGATCTGAGTGCAAATGATTTTCTTGTGTGAAAAGGAAGAGAGACACAAGGAGATAATTTGATGAAAAAAATAAAATTTACTCCATATGTGTTTTTTGTTGAGTATCATATTTGACCATCAGGCTTTTATGGCTCATATAATCTGATACAGTGAGAACACGGAGGAAAAAACAGCTCTATTTTATTCAGACACTCAAAAATATGCGATCTGGTGCAGATGCTGATATGATGAAATTCTAATGCTTGTAATGTAAATCAGTGAGATCTTTATAACAGTACAGCAGATACTAAACAATGATCTACATATCAGTATATCTCCAGTAATATGTCTCAGTAAGATGAGATTGAAATGATCAGAACATATAATGCAATCCAGTGCTGATTGAGAGATGAAGAAATAAACAATGCAAATACGTGTGCCTATGAGGACTGTAGTGTAGAGAGTATGCTAATATGAAGCCAAACTTGGTACTTTTAGGTGGTTTAGAAATTTAGAAACAAGTAAGAGCCATAGTTACAGAGGTTCTTAGTAACAGGAATGTTATATTTTTGTTCCTTTTTCTGTTCTGAACACTGCTAAATTTACAGGATTTTTTGTGGAGTGAGGGGAATATATATACATGTGTCTAATATTTGTAAACGTTTAGTTTATTTTACATTATTTATAAATGAAATGATAAAATGTGTTTTATATATCAATCGACTTGTATACCAATGCAACTTATCTGTGTAATAAAATGCTCATAAAAAATAAGGCAGAGATGGTAGAAGAATAGAACTGCCATGTATGTACAAGTAGACATACAGTACAGTAGTGGTCAATTTAATTTAAAAAAAACTTAATTTGTCATAGCTATGCGGCCCCTCACTTGGTGTGGAAAACTTGATGTGGCCCTCGAAGTCAAAAAGTTTGCCCACCCCTGACCTAAAGAATAAGCACCGGTAGCTAAAGAATAAGCGCAAGTAATGAATGAATAAGTACTAGTTCTTCATGTAATAGATACTAGTAGCTAAAAAAATTAAAAAAGTACTAGTAGCATGAAAATAGATACTAGTATGTTTTTAAAGATTTAATGTTAAAATGGCTTGCCATACTATGTCTGACGGGATGCTGATCGTCTCTCAGCACCGCTGCTCCGGTCATGACTGCCAAAGATGAAGAGGTTGTATTAGTGTTGTTTGCAGTTGTATTAAACAGATACATAAACATGTAACTCAAGAATTCATGCGTCTTACGTGCTCCCTTTCCAGTCATTGTGTCAGCGTTGTAGTGTTAATCCAGGGTCTGGATGGGCTGGTATTGTTGGTAACAGCCTGGAGCCGGCCAGCAGAGGATTATGGGTCAGGAGCTCCTGTTTCTCAGTCTATTTTAAAGCTTCTGAAGCTCCAGGACACCTGTATGAAAGAGGAAGAGCTGAAGAAACGCCTGCTGACTGACTGATTTCATCACACACTGCTGCTTTTGTGGAGTTTTACGGCTGAAACACGGTGTATTTGCAAAATGTACATACATAAAACCTTTTTACTGTCATTAAATTGACAGTGCAATCAGTGTTATTTTAGTCTCATTTACAGGCTATTTGTTTTTGTAAATGTTGTGAATTTTTATATTTACCGTTTTCATTTTCATTTTAGTTGGTTTTAGTATTTTCTGACTGACTGATTTCATCACACACTGCTGCTTTTGTGGAGTTTTACGGCTGAAACACGGTGTATTTGCAAAATGTACATACATAAAACCTTTTTACTGTCATTAAATTGACAGTGCAATCAGTGTTATTTTAGTCTCATTTACAGGCTATTTTTTTTGTAAATGTTGTGAATTTTTATATTTACCGTTTTCATTTTCATTTTAGTTGGTTTTAGTATTTTGATGTGTGTTATTGTCATTTTTATTAATAAAAAAAAAAAAAGCCTGTACAATTGTTTTTATTTTATTTCAGTTTTACTTTTAATTATTTTAGGACTTCAAGTTAAACTGAATGAAAAGGATACATTTATTTTATTTCAGTGAATATTTATTTAATTTAAAGTAACAAAAAATATATTTTTTAGTGTTTTAGTTTTCAGTTAATCCTGATTCTCATCCACACAGCATATGGACTATTTACAGAAACACTTGTATATTATTAATTTATTTTATGACAGGTATCTGATTTATATATTGCACTATATTTAACAAATTCAATTAGTTTTTTTGTACCATGACGGAAGAGTAATTAATTTCCCAGAATGCTCTAATTTAGTCACTATATTAAATTCAATATAATCAAACCTGGATTTTAGTATATATTTTTCACTTTGATAAAATTGGTCTGAAAACAATGAGGTGAAATTTCATGGTGCTATACAAGAGATATTCTACATATCGGTGTTTTTATGTTTTGTTGCATGACTGTCTGTGTTTAGTTTCTTTGAATTGAAATTCAATAGAAAGGGACTGAATTAATTAAAAGGAAAGTCACTGCACATGACAGACAACAAACACTAGAGGACACCACAGTTATATTTCTACTGCCAATTCTGCTCTGAACATATACATATATCTAACATAATATCTTTTTTAGTAAAATATATGTATTTGAATCCATCTGCAACTTGTTAATTCACTCATAATTATGTGAAAATGATGTGATCAATAAGAAGTAGACATGGACTCTTAATGATGATGAACAGAAAAGGAAATATTGCATATAAAATTATATTAATTTATAACTTGTGCAATTCAGTAAATATTCTTACACTACCCTACATCAATGAAAACGTGCTGTCCCAATCACCCACTTTTTTTTTTGGCTCAGTTTACAGAAAAACGTAAGTCACACATCCTTTCATTATAATATAACATTGCTTCCTCCTCAAATGTGTAGATAACATCTTCAGTATTACAGAAATGTATCATGTGTCGGGCTGATGTTTTTAATTTATGGCAAGAAACCTTGCACAAGGCGGAAATTCAAAAACTGTCCACCCTTAATGTTCCCTCAGTCATATAAACGTTCTTCATTACAGTAAAATACTGGGATTTTTAAATAAAAATCACCATAGATTAAATGCATGATGCTTAAATGCTTTTACAAATGAAATAACTAGCCGATTTACTTTTTGCATGAAAGTAATGAGGAGCAAGGGAGGTTAGTTGTCATGAAAGTAATCATGTAAAATCATATTTTTAAAAAACTATACAGCCAGTTAACATTCAGCGTCACGCATTATTGTGAAATTCAGCCACGCTCCCATTTCCTCCGCCCTATTTTTCCTCATTCGTGCAGCTGTGCTGTATTCATCCGCGCGGCGGTCGGTTTCCTGCAGCTGTTGCTGAATGCGTGTATCCTTCCGCAGAGCCGGTGTGTGCCTCCGCCGCAGCGCGCGCATCTGCTCAAAGCCCGGACCTTAAATCTCCTGTTTAGAGTTTTCTGTCAACAATCTCTTCCTCTTTAATCGAAATCGTTTCATTTGTCGTGTTCTGAGCGGCGCTGTTGGTGTTTTATTCGGCGAGTCATGGCTGACATCGACAAACTCAACATAGACAGCATCATTCAGCGCCTGCTCGAGGGTGAGTTTCAGGAAACGACTGAAATATGCTTATAAGAAAGATAAATCATTTCAAAAGTGTTATTAATGTCGCATATGGGTATGCGTATGACTGATTAATCCGCTATCTAGGTCGTATTTAGATCTGTTTAGCCGAGCTAACACGGTTAGCTGAGCGCTAGCTGCTGACTGACATTAACGGCTGCGTTTCAAATACACAGAGAATGTCCTGTTACCTAGACAACATCCGTGGCGCCTTCGGAACGTTTGAATCGGGGTGATTGTGAGCAGGATTTTGGGCAGCCGTTCGAAATGCAGTCTACACAGGCAGCTCACTAGGTGTTGAGACGCAGCCGAGCCCTACGCGCGGTTTCTGTGCTTAAAATACACGAACTGTTATATAAAACTGACATTGTGACGTTAAACACAGATTTGACTTATTATAAGAGTCCCATAATCGTTAAAACCTGGACATGACAGAAATTGAAATGTCAAAACTAAGTTAGTTAAAGGGGTCATATGATGATGCTGCTAAAAAGAACATTATTTGGTGTAATGAAATGTGTTTATGCGGTTTAAGGTAAAAAAACCACATTATTTTCTACATACTGTACATTATTGTTTCTCCTCTATGCCCCGCCTTTCTGAAACGCATCGATTGTTACAAAGCTCATCGGTCTGAAAAGCGAGGTGTGCTGTGATTGGCCAGCTATCCAGTGTGGTGTGATTGGCTCCCTACCTCAAGCGTGCCACGGAAACGTTACGCCCCTCACATACTGTGATGCCAATATAAACGAGGCATTTGTTGCATCCAGTGGGGGACATAATTACGGATTATAATGACTTATACTGTCTTTTTACGCGTTGCGTTGCATCGTGCCGCGTAAACATAAAACCATGTCTGCATTTGTGATCGGAGAAATGACAAACAACAAGTGCTACTCTACACTGCCCAAAACTCACGTTTGAATCGTCAGCGGCAAATCCTTTAAATGAAAACGTACTTACGTGAGTCAGAACTGCCGGCATTTTAGTCTAACGTTACTCTCCCAGGATCAGGAAACAGTCCTCCATAAAATGTGCTGCACACATCTGAATATTTGGGTTGAACTGTTCTGGAACAGTGTTGTAAATACAACTTAACCACTGATTTCTAGTCGTGTCCTCTCTTGGCCAAACAAAGTAGTTTCGCTTTCACAACGAAGCACACAGCGTCTTCACGACATGACGGCGGCGGCAACAATACTACAGCGAGAATAAAAGTTACGCCTTCTTTCTTTGCGTGAACATTTGGGCGGCGTTATGCAAATCTTCCCACATAGTGATGTAGACATGTGGGGGCGTGTTAGAACGAGCCGTTTTAGGTAGGTGTGGCTGACTCTTAACTTTTATAAAGAATATCTTTGGATTTGAGACTTTAGTCTTTGCAACTTTACAGATCTTCTTTATGCACCAAGAGCTTGTAACACTCCAAAGAGAAAGGAAGAATTGAAATCGCATCATATGAGCTCTTTAATGTCTTTTTCTATTTCAAGCTCAGATGTAATTGCTCTTTGAGAGTGTAGTTTTTATTACATTTATTAAATTTTTTTTGCAGTAATCACAAACATCTTTTGAATAGACTAAAATAATTCCATAGCATGACACAATAAACTAATTTAGATAGAGTTTTGTGTTGTAATAATAAACACCCTGTGATTATATTGTTTTATTGTATACAGTAGTGTAATACAAATTCTTGGTTCAGCTAATGTATTTACGTAACTCACTGCTAGTTTCAGTTTTGTGCCGTATTTTTACATGCAAAGCAGTTCACCATTGCTCATCTTATATTTTAGCTCGATGCTTTGACTTATACAGACGTAATGAGTTCTTCGAAGTCTGTTGTATGTGTATCTGGTTATTTGCCCATCATAAGAGGGTCTGGAGGACTTTGAGTTCATTTAGCAGTGACTTCAACACAAGACTGTATTTATATACATTGAAGTCTGTCAAAGAAACATGCGTTTGTCCTCTTAGGATTGTTTCAATGTAGTGTGAAATAGATGTGTGATTGGAAAGGTCTTGTATATTATTTTTATGCGTTGTATTGTGTTTGTGCATTAGTTTTTAGCATTGTAAAGTAGAGATACATCATCATTAGGCACCTAAACATGGATTTTCAGAGCATGCACACCTTGAATCATTTTCAGAGATGCATTGCTTTTAGAAATAACCTCTGTGATTCATTTATTATGCTTCATCATCTAAACTAGGGTGGTGTTCATTCTTGTGGTCAGATCGCTAATTAAGGCACTTGAATGTGTTGTTTGATAACTGTTATGTTTTTTATGATTAAGGCGTTATGCCTGTAATCTGTCTGGAGACTGTAGAAGTGACAGGAAAGCGCTGATGAACCACATTTTATTTTTTGCTCTATTTGTGGCTATTGTTGTTGCCATTTGACGTTGTGTTTGAGCCAGTCATATTTTTTCATGTGGGCTACTCTATAAAGCTAACTGTGTTTCTTAGAAGCCTCTCCCTGTTTTTTCCACCTCGTCAGAGTTCAGCCAATTGCACCACCTGCATGTTTATTGCTATACAGCCTAGAAACCAGGCCGGGGTGTGAGGACTGCACCTATATCTGCTCGCCCAGTATTAGTAGTACGGCTGTTCCCTTGGCAGTCTGCTCCCGTTACATAACCACACTCGGTTTAATGCCGCCCGATGTGTTGCCAAGACCTGCCTCGTAGTTCATGGGTGGAGAATATCAGTCCAGGAGACTGAGTCCTTCTCAGATTCATGAATTGGAAGTGTTTAGGATACACTTAAAGGAATAGTTTACCCAAAATGAAAATGTATGGGAAAAGGAACCCTCAGGCCATCAAAAATGTAGATGAGTTTGTTTATTCTTTAGATTTGGAGAAATGTAGCTCAGTAATGGATGCTCTGCAGTGAATGGGTGCCGTCAGAATGAGAGCCGATAAAAACATCACAATAATCCACAGCACTCCAGTCCATCAGTGAACATCTGAAGAAGACAAAAGCTGAAACACATCCAGCATTAAGACGCTTTTAACTAAAATACATTGAGTCTATAATCCATAATAACGCTTCCTCCAGTGAAAAAGTGTTCTGGTGTGAATCAGGAGAGAAATCTGCACAGATCAAGCAGCGTTTAAACAGCTCTAAACACATATGTGGCTGGATTTTGATGTGAGAGACAACAGCAGATTTTCACTGGAGGAAGAGTTATGGATTACAGACTCGTATTTTGGCCAGAAGCAACGGATTGAAGTTAAAATTGTCTTGATTGATTTGTTACTTACACAAACACAGCTTTTGGCTTCACAAGATGATGGACTGGAGCACTTGTAACGCACTAAAATCGTATATATTTTGCATTAGAGGAGCATTTGTTTTCAATTCAAATCACATTTATTTGTATAGCGCTTTTTACAATACAAATCGTTGCAAAGCAGCTTGACAGAAAATGAAAGTTTCTACGTTACATTTAAGAGTAGTTTATCAGTGGTGACTGTCCAGGTGATGTCCATACGGCAGAAATGTACAGGAAAAATCAAGCAGTTAGTTAATGACCTGTATTCAGAAAACACGTTTAACAGCAATGATTTAATGTTGATATAATGTTTATGAGGCAAAGGCGGAACGAAAGAGCGTAACTCATTTGAAGCACGTCACTCGGACCGTCTAAAGCAGATGTGTTACTCGCTGATGAATCTCGATCAAGCGATGCTGTGAGATCCAGTGTGAAGCGCTTGCATTCGGCGAATAACACAAGTAACTCTGTTTACAGCCAGATGATACAGCGCTGACAAACAGCAGAAACACTGTGCACAATGATACAGTCAGAAGACTTTTTAATCTACAAATTGCCATAATTTACCATAGAATTACTGTAGTAGCACTAACTGCACCATGGTATTGTGTCAGAAATGTGGGTATTTGTGTTGAATTTATATTATTAATGTAGACATGTTTTAAATGTATTGAAGGAGTAATGGAATATAATTACAGTATTTTTTTGCGTTTATGCATTTATACTAAATTTATTTAGACTAGTGTTTCATACAAATACCTAAAAACCATATTACATTTTTATCATGGTATTGAGGTGCTATATTTGTGGTTTTAGCTGTGATTATCATGATCTATATGTATGCTACTATGAAAGACCAGTGGCTAATAAATAAAAAAAACTCAAACAGTCAGAATAATTACATTTCACCATATAAAAATGAGGTTGCTACAATACTTACAGATATTACTGATTTTGATAATGAACATAAATCTACATCTGCATCCTAACTTACTATTAAATGTGTATTTCTAAGAGACAAACGATTTTAAATTATTAATATTATCAGGCAACACAAACCTGTTTCTTGATTTGAAACAATATTACTCATTAGAGCGTGCAGAACTAAGAAATTATTGGTTTCTATTAAGATATTTATATTGTTAAGGAAAAATGACTGGAAAAGTGTAAAGAATTCAAAAACGTGAAGTTTGTCGTGTTCTGACCATAAAGAATAGTTTTCTCATGAAGTTGTCTAGAATTATTTATGGAGCAGATAAAATACATATAATCATTTATTAATCAATTATCATTTTGACATATCTTTTCTTTATTTAAAGGCTGAAATGTGAGGTTTACCTTTTTATGAAACTTTTTCAAAGCTTTATTTGAACATTTACATCAGATATTTCAACATGCTATTAAACTGTTGTCAGTCAAGTTATCATTTAAAATACGAACATCATTGTTAATGTTATTGTTTTTAGTGATTATCCAAACAAAAAGTCATTTTGTTTGTTGATTTTTAAATATAAAACTTGAAGTGATTTATGTGTCGGTACTTTTTGAACATCTCCAGCACATTTGAACAATACCGAGATAATACCGATAACCGGGACAATTTTGGTCACTATAATCGTGATAAGAAATTTTCATACCGATACATCCCTAGTTGAAAACCACAATAAACCGTCTGGTTTACAACTTTCACATAGGAGCAAAAATCTGCCTTTAAACTTGAAAGAAATTAAAATTTGACATTTATCGTGATAATTATCGATATCAACTGATATGAAAAAACATTATCGTGATAATGTTTTGGCCATATCGCTCAGCCCTAGTTTGAGGATTCCTGCTTGGTTATTGGCTTTTATTCATCATATAGGAGTGTTATTGTAATTACTAGCTTGATAATGATTGGTAGGGATGGGCGATATGGGCTTAAAAATATATCACGATATTTCTGGTATTTATTACAATAACAATATCAATGGCGATAATTCAGGGAATCCTGTTTCTTTAGAGAAAAGTATTATCTTTCCTATTTTTACCCAGAATAGGGTGTTGTGATCATTAATGAATACACACATAATGTAAAGACTGTTTAATTCATACTGGAAGCCGGAGGGCGCTCTTGCACAGAAACTCCACATATCCATAGCAGAAGAAATACTACTGACGATGCTCCAGGAAGGTATTTAGTTATCGCTGAATAAAACGCACAACGGAGATAGACGTTTTAACTGATGAAACTTGAGGAAAATAAACATACGATTGCACAAAATATATGGTTTATCTGTGTTCTTCGATCTTGGGTATTTTTTATAAGGAAAGTATATTTATAATGTCATTCTGTAATATGAAACCACGTCTGGTCACAAAAATAAGTATTTCAAACACTCGACTATGTTATTTAAGTTAATTTGGAGAGAAAGCATGTCAATAAATGATATCTTTTTTGGACAACAGGTTTGTAAACAGGCTCATAGGCATGCAAAACTGTATCGCACTCATGCTACTGTAGTACATTTATTCAGACCGATTTTCTTGTGCTCTGTACAGCCCTGACCAAACCAGTTACAGATTGTAAAAGGAGCTCGAGCTCCTCATTTAGCGATATAGGCTGCTGCTCCTCAATTTCACGTCCGCCTTCCGCAATGTCGCTTGGTAGTGTTGGGCGGTATACCGGTTCATACCGAATACCATTTATTTTTATGATATTAATTTTTAAAATACCGCAATACTGGTATTTCGCTTAAACAACGTTGGGAATGCGACACTGTTTGAAAGGGGTCTCTTTTCACTGTTGCACTGTGGTGAGGGAACAGCTGTATGTGTTACTAAGCGTGAAAG